TTGAATACCACAGATCATCTTGATTTATAAAATTGTTGAAACCACTGAATAATATGTAATTCTTACAGAAGTGTAGTTGGGGTGTATCTTTGATTCCTCTTAAGTGTTCCTCTTTCTTGTTCATAGTGAAATATTATCTAAGAGATGTTTTTGCACTCTGATGAAACGTAGTTAGAAGAAAGGAGAGTCATAATGATTGAGTGTGAGATCGAATAATATTCCAACTGATTCAAAAAAGTCTTCTTTTTCATACAGAGTGCTCTCTTGTATTTTTACAGGTATGACAGAGATTCATAGTTTTGTCACCTATCGATGCAATGAACAGCAACCTGGGTATTGCAGAGTCACTGTGAAGTCAGCCATTGCCAATCGCATGTCGATTATGCAAGCCTTGAAACGTCAGTGGAAAACCGCCAAGAAGAAGTTGCTAACTGCAGATTCACAAGGAGACAAGGTGCAGTGGGTGGATTTATCCTGAACCAGCCAGAAGTTCTCCAGTGTGTAGGAGAACCTTTGATGTAGCACATCAACAAGAAAATCATATAAGAAGTCCTAAATAACGATGTAGTTGTCATTACAATATGTCACTCAGGCAAGCATAAGGGAGAATTCAAAGTACAAATTAACATAAAGATTTTGTTCAAGGGTGAATTGGTGTCAGTGTCTGTGCTGACACCAATCTCACAGTCATTTATGACGAATGGATTTATTTATGGATGGTTACTCTTGCTAAAACCAGTTTGGCAGAGAAGTGAGACAGATTATGGATCTGTCTCTCAGAGGTTCAATGAAAGAAGATTTTAATTATTTCCTTAAGTTATCTTGCCAGGACACAGTTACTGGTGCTTAGCTTTGAAGGTTTGAGCCTGAACCTGACCATTTTTGCAGTTAGAAACCCATAGTTTCAGAGGTCTGTCGTCAACCCAATAGAAGAAAGAACCCTCTACCACGAAGGACTTATGTCTCATAAACATGGTAACAATGAAATCTTAGTTAAGCACCTTTTAGCTGTGACACTTATATGTAAATCATGTTCCCCCATGCAAGAAGCTGACATAGAAGGCATTCTCATAACAAGTTTGTGAAAAACTTCCTAGTAAGCTCAGGTAACACCATTTAGGCATTAAAAACATCATATTTGAAACACTAGCCATGCCTGTAGCAACAAATTATGAGGTGGTAATCTCAGCTAAATTGTCAGAAGAGGGGAAGCTTACAGCATTCACTAGTGTACTCCTTCTAAAGATGAAGCTTCGAGAGTGTCAATAATGCATTTAGAAAGAGGCCTCAATAGATGATACCACACACATAGGTGTTTTACAGTAAGTTCGTTGAGTTTAAACAGCTGCTATCTTAAGGCAGAAATATATTAAACCTACTGCTCCAGTCAGTGGTGATGAGGATGGAGAGACATTTAGACCTACATTGCAAGCAAGGAAGGAGAAATACGTTTTACAGTCATTGGTGAGGTATGTGTCCTTTTCCTGTAATTATATAGGAGCCAACACGTCAACAAAATAGAATGAGTTGTAAGCAATAAACCCAGAGATAATGACAGACTGGAAATTGTTTCAGCTCTACTAGATTCGTGTAATGAACCATGGTCAGATCTGGCCGATCTAGAAAAGAACATATATGTGTTTGTTCCTACAAGTGTGTTTGTTAGCTTAGCAAGTAAACAAATAAGCATGGTTTGTTACATGTCTGGAAGAATGTACACATGTGAGGTAAAGGTTTAAGTTAACACATGGGCCATTAAAGCTACACTCGATCTTATAAACATTTAAAACAGGAGTTCGATTCCTCTTGGTGGACAGAGCAGGTAGCTCTATGTGGCTTTGCTTTAAGAAAACACATACACACACTGCCCCCTCTCCCCAGTGGCACAGCAGTATGTCTGCGGTCTTACAACGGTAGAAACTGGGTTTTGATACTCGTGGGGTGCAGTGCACATATAGCTCATTGTGTGGCTTTGTGCTTAATTAAGAACAAACAAAACAAGAGAGCGAAAAAATAAATAAAATTATGAGTGAATTAAAAAATAATACAGTAATGGAATGTTCATGTGGTGTAAAATAGCATTATGCACTAATTGTGATTTATGTTAGGAAAAACACAGAATGACAATATTCGTTTACTATTCTTATCGAATGAAAACTTCTAGCATGTTCAATTATATGTTTCATTTTATTTTGGTGGTGTTGAACATTTATAAATGGTGGTACAGTATGGTAAACCATAAGATTGGGTAAACATTCAGCAGTGAAGACATGTTTCATTGTGACTGTTTCCAATTGTGCTTATAGCTCCAGTAACCAAAATCTGTGTGTACGTTGCACACGCCACTCATACATATGTGCATACTCAGATATAATAAAGTATCATAAAATCACCGAAAGAAAAAAAAATGAAAGCAAGAAAATAAAGGTTAAAGTTTGATACACTACTACGAGTTATTTACCTGCACAGTGCAAGGTCAGTCAAGAATGCCAGTTTTGGCAGTTGTGGAATTGCATTATGGAAAGATAATATATTGGAAAACTTTAAAAATTTGAATATATTTTCAAACATAATTTTAGATTTTCCTTGGAGTTGTTGTGCAACAGAAGATACAAGAGTATAATATTGCTTAATATTCGGTTTTCCTATTACTGTCAAGCATATAGGTGTGAATGTAATAAAATATAGATTAAGTACTTGTCAAATAAGTGGTCAGTAACTAATAAATTTCCAAACATTTCAGGAAATAATATGGGTGTTACTGTGTGTCATGGACAGAGTTATGCATTTGTACTGCAAAAGCAATATGGAATTAAACGTATAACGACAGGTTTAGATCACTCGGTTGAGTTAGTTTTATGTTTATCTAGCATCAATTAATATGGGGTGCCTGGAAAGTAATGCCCCACAATGTACATGAGAACCAGGTGCTTAGCCTGTAGGGAGCGTTATAATGTAGTCACTGTCCTTGGCAGTTTTACACATAAGGGTAGTAAAAATGACATTGTATGTGTGCGGTATTCTCAGATAAAACAGATTTCTGCACAAGTATTAAATAAATTTGCTTTGACAGAAGAATCAAACAGAAAATTTGAGGACTGAAACGTGTGTGCATACTTGTGCAGACACTTTCACAATAACTCCTGCACTTCTAGTATGTAGGCTGTCAGCTTCCTTCTCAAACAAGGATCGTAAGAGTAGAATAAAGAGAAAGAATAAATGTTTTGATCTTGGAACAAGCTTGTATCCTTTCTCTTGTGAAATCATCAGTACGTGACTATTCACTCTCTCACAGCATTTGTCTGCTGTAACATACAGACAGCATTGACTCAACCGGTAAAAGATGTTGCATTTGTTGACCCTTCTAACACTCATGCTGCAACATCTTGGACAGAGTAGATACTATCTGCTACAGTAAAATAACGATACAAAGGCAAACTTCAGCGGTTTTATGGACCACGTGTTTATGCTAAAACTGTATAAAAACTAGCTAAAAGAACAATTTTGATTCCTTTATTATTAAAAGCCATCCTGTCCAACTCTGTTCTTCAGATAGATTTTTTTGGGGGTTACTAACCAAAGTTTGTTTGTTTATTTGCTGCTGAGTGTTAAATATTTGTCCACTAAGTTTGACTAGCACACAGTTTAGAGTAGTTTGATGTTAATAAACGAACACATTCACAGGTTTCGAGTACAGGATAACAGATTTTCAGTTGTTTTTTTTTCTCTCTCTTTATCAATACATTTTACCCCTCCCCCCCAAAAAATAGCGGTTATTTCGCTCTGAATGCAGGTTTATA